TCCACTCTTCTCTCCTGCTTTTCTCTCCTCCTGGCTGCTGCCTTCACTGACTGTCTGTGTGTGTGTGTGTGTGTGTGTGTGTGTGTGTGTGTGTGTGTGTGTGTGTGTGTGTGTGTGTGTGTGTGTGTGTGTGTGTGTGTGTGTGTGTGTGTGTTGAATGCTAATGCAGCACAGAATACAAACAGTTAAATGTAATCAATTCACAGATGGGGACATTCACACACACATAGGTATGCAGGGGTAAATACATTCTTGCACACGCATGTATAAAATGCACATTTATTATACAGCATTCAACCCCGAGCGACATCACTTCTCATTCACATAATACTCCTCTCATATGAACACACTCACACTATAAAATAACATAATATAATGAAAAACATGCTTTAACCTCTCTACGCCTCAGTTCTGGGTATTGTTTATCTGACAGTCAGACAGGAATTTGCAGTACTTCAGAAACCTTTCAACTTGTCAGTGTGCTTCCTTTGAGAAACACTTATTAGCGGCGCCTTGCAACTTGCCAAAATCTCCCACAGTTTAAACAAAGGATGTAAGACATATATTTGCACAATTTGTTCACAGAGAATCAAAAGGCGCTAAGTGTCAGCCATGTTGCATTTATCTGTCTCCTGAAATGTGTCACAAATGGTCTAAAGTGCTCGTACTCTTCACAGTTGAACCCCTCAAGCAGATAAAAATGTCTCTCAGTGCTTGAAGGGGACATAATGAAATAATTACACCCACTTAAAGAGTGATTATCTAAAAGAATAGGCTTTCCACGAACCAACTTACTAACAAATATAAAAAGTATTTATTTGTATAAATTCGATTAAACATTTCTTGTGATAACTACTAAACAGATCTCCCTGATGCATAGGCAGTACATCTGTTTGTAGAAATGCATGCACACAAAACACAACGATATTGGTATATGTAATTAAGGAGACTCTATTTGTATATATTTATGAGAGAGTGGTGTGTGGTTGATGGTGTGCAGTCACTAGCATTAGTCTTGTTCAAACCAACACTCAAAAACGGCTGCTTTTTCTTGAAATGTAGTCATTGGTGAAAGCAGTGCTACTTGACTTTTTCGCTCCCTTTTTTGTGTCGCTTTTTAATTTTTGTATAACCTCCTGGGACCAGAGGAAAAAAAGTGTCTTCCAATTTCCTTTTTTTTTGTGATTTCCTACCTATTTAGGCTTAAAAAAACATCTTGCAATCTAGACTTTTTTTATTTTATTTTATTTTAAAATGTTACAGTATGTCCACTGTAGAGGACGTCGGGACCATATTAGTTTGAAAAGACAGCCAAAATTAACAGATAGACTATGTAACCTATAATGGTTATAGAGTGATATTAATACAATAATACATTCACCTTTATTTAAAACATGAATAAGTAAATGATCTGAACATTGCTGTTTATTTGGTCACTAAAAAACTAGTTTGGTTGTGTGNGTCTCCAGCGCTTTCGAACGGCAATGTCCGTGGCTGTCTCCTCCTGATTGGTGGAGTTGGCCCAATAGCCATAGCGCCACTTCGGTGACGTCATAGAAGTGTTCAAATCTGGATCAGTCTGTATCAGATCCGTTGCAGCCCCTTTTTAAGAGATTTGGGTATGGAGGAAAAGAGAGAGGGTTGTGTTTTCTGACACTTGGTGAGTTCTCACTTTTCTTTTTTTAAAGTGCCAACCCTTAAGATTTCAGTCCTGGTTGCTTTAGAATTTGTATTTGAGTGAAAACAATGATTTACCAGTCTTGCTGTAATAGAACATTTTTGGTTAACCGCATTGAAATCACAAGCACCCTGTTTTAAAAGTGCAAATATATAGAAATTGTAATACTTTCATCAGTGCCTCACATGCTTAAACCTATATTACCTCCTTTGAGGATAGAGAGTGACTCAATTGACATTTATCTAAGCAAAACTATTCTGGATTGCGACTAAACTTATACTTCAAATACATTTCTCACATGTGTCTCTAATCATCCTCCTATGAGATTCATTAAAAACACAGAAGAACAAAATCTGACTAAAAGAACATTTAGCAGTGAGCACAGAAATACCCAGAGGGTCCGTGTGGTAAAATAAAACATCTTTGTTCAAAATGTTTAATAACAAGCATGGCAACAAACAAGGCATAAGAACAATGCATGTTTAGAAAAATATATCTGCAAATGTATTTTTCAGAATATACTATACGTTCACTTAACCTCTACTCAATATTAAACATTTACAATTCAAAAACTAATAGTTTCATTAGAGAGTCACGGTAGAAAACAACACGTTCAGTTTCTTCTATACTCTTTGTTTTCAGGATCAACTTACACCAGAAGAAAAGTTTAGGTAGACATGTTGATAAAACAGGCAAACAACCTGAGGTGTTTTTATTTATTTGGTAAAGCTCTAGCTTTTAATTGATGGTTGATACCAACTCCCCTCTTTCTCAGACAAATTGTCCAATTATTGACAACAGCTTTTTTCCTAAGACAATAAAATGAAGGTACTACATTGACGACCTACATCCACTCGGATTCTTACCTAAAAAACATTTATTTTATTTTTGTAATTATTCATACTTATTCGGTTGTTTTTTCAATATGTCCAATACTGTGACATACTTAAAAAAATCACCAGTTCCCAGTAGTGGTGATCCAAGAGTCAAACTACCAGTTATTTTACTTAAAACCTCAAAGAATGATGCCAAAAAGGAAGAATATAAATGCTGAATTACTGAGTTTGAGTAAAAAAGGTTTTGAATTGGAGTCATTTTCCATGTTTGAGTAAGTGGTGGCTGTGTCTTCATGGCTTAAATACTGCTTGAGTCTCCAGTGCAGGCACCTGTTTGTGTTGAAGCTCTGTCCGAGTGTCTTTGAGGAGAACAGAAGGTCCTGAAGTCACGCTCAGTATCCCGCCGGATAGCCTCCTTTCCTGGGGTCGGACTCCGCACAGAGACGCTCCCCCTGCCGCACCACCGCCTGGACCACAGAGTCTGGAGTCGGCAGCAGCTGCGTGATGTGGTTCTTCTGGACCAGACCTTCCAGAACACTCTGCCATGGTATCATCATCACACAAACATAAAGAGTACAGTGCAGAGGGTTAAAGAGATGGCTCGTGCCAAAATCAAAGATACCAATTTTTCCTCTTTCTTGTTATGCTATTTATCAATCCAGATTGTTTTGGTGTGAGTTGCAGAGTGTTTAAGATATTGGCCTTATGGTCTCTTTCAATAAATCTCGACCTGGCTACCTGAGATTACCCACAGTCCTTATTTTATTATTTTGTTTTTATCAAACTACAACTGACAAACGTCTTACCCCCAGAAAGATGTTAGCAACATGGCTTAGAATTTGCAGACATTCATGGTTACCAGAGGATATATTTAATTCATCCAGCACCATCAATAGGTCAAATACCTGCAGAAGCAATACATTCCTAACTTCCCCTGCTTTGTTTTCTAGTGCTTATTAGCAATTGTTAGCAAATACTGATGGGTACGGTGGCCCTGAAGTGCAAGACACCACAGCATTTCAGAAAACACTACAGCATTTCAGAAAACACCACAGCATTTCACAAAACGCTACAGCATTTCACAAAACACAACAGCATTTCAGAAAACGCCGCAGCATTTCAGAAAACACCACAGCATTTCACAAAACACAACAGCATTTCAGAAAACGCCGCAGCATTTCAGGAAACACCACAGCATTTCAGAAAACACAACAGCATTTCAGAAAACACCACAGCATTTCACATTGGACGGAAAGGGTATTCCTTTAGGGAGAACACGTCTTGTTTATGATTGGACAGAGCCAGCCAGAGAAGCACTGCTGTGATTGGTTGTTTTTGCTGCCAGTCAAGAAATGACGCTTCGTGATAGGTCAACGCCCGACAGCGCAATATGTCCCAACACATCAGCTGTTAGCACACACTCAGAGCTCACAAAAAAAGTGCAAGTGGATGGGTGAACGGATTGTTTTTGCATTGCGATGTTTGAATACAATTTCAGAAACTAAAGCCAAATCACTACCTAATAAGTCATGTTTTATGTAGGTTTCAAGTTTGCCTGTACGTTAATAAATCACTCCAAAAAAACAGTGTTATGCTAAATAAAATACTGCACATTTCAACTGAGGGTGTCCTGGCCCTTCTAGCAGTTTTCCAGATGTTATTTTGCATTAAATGTCTCCACGCAAAACCCACCTTTTCAAAGCCCTGCTCCACGACTGTCATATTTGGGTTGAGCTGATTGTGAACGCGCGGTTCGTTCACAGCTTTCTTTAGGTCATAATTGAAGAACAAGGAATTCAGGATGACCTGTTTCAGTCAGAAAACATTTTAAAATGTTAAATAACTGACTGTGTGTCTGGTGGATGGCGTGTGAATTAATCAGACTTACTAGTGCAGTGGCTGTGGTGATTTTTGTACCACCAGACGCTCCTACAACCATTTTGACTTTGTTTTCTTTGTCGAAGATGATAGTAGGACACATGGAAGACAGCGGCCTTTTGCCTGCAACAGATAGAAAAATAGGGCTACAACTGCTTAAAGCTGGGGTTGGAAGTTTTGGGGAAAATGCAAAACAAACACACACAAAATACAGCCCTTTCTTCTCTTTCCTAAGCCCCTCCCAGACAAGCACTGTCAAATGTGAAAGTACTAGTTATTTATTTCATTGCAAACAAATGGGTCTGTGAAGCCTTTTACGATGACATGTTGTAATTTGAGGCTCAAGCTAGCCACATAGCCGCAGCCTGGAGCCTTTGGTTAACAATTAACAGAAGTAAAAACTATAACTAACATTTTCTCTCAATCTATAACATGCTTTGCCGATGTTGACACAAGTTTTATTGAGTTTATTGTATTTCAAAAGTGACCTGTGATTGGTAAAAGTTACCCTCAAAGGCAAAATGTTCTAAGCCTGAAAACAGATCCAAAAGGAGATGCAGCAGGCTACTTTTCTTTCAAACCTCTCAATGCTAAAAGGTTATTATATAGTTTTCGCCCAATTAGACAATTTTACACCATCATATTTGAACTTTTACCTTGGATTTACCATTGATTGAATTATGAATATATTTAATAATTAATAAAGTCAATTTTTGAAAGCTTAAAACAGCCACAAGAATTTGACAAAAAAAGAAAAATGTTAAGTTACAGCAGGGTTACACAGTTGGAATTGGCTTATGCTTTAAAGTGTAAGAAGAGGAGGCTGATAGTGAGCTTAAGCTATCAGTGTTCGTGACACTGACAAATCCAGGAACAATAAAAAGGCTGGTGAAAGCATCAACTCTGCATCATCCCCAACAGAGAAAGAGTCAACCTTTTGGGGTTGTGAAAACATTTTTTTGTTTTTAACACTGCTATTCATCAACGAAGATGGTGTAGAAGTTTTAGCCTAAACCATTGATTGGTGTAAAACAAGTGTGATAACTCAGTCCAGCCACACCTGGTTGAATGAAGTTGTTTGGTGATGGAGGGATCCCAAACCCGTTGGTCATGTGTGGCGAACTGAAGTCGTCCATTTCATCGTTGAAAATGATTCCAGTTGATCTCGACATGACTTTGGAACCAAAGCTGGAGAAATAAAACGGCTTTTAAATAGTTATTAACACAAACATGTCACAGATGATAATCAACTGAAGTGTTTTCTTTCTGACAGGCAGTTTCAGGAGGAGTAATAATAATCCATTAGATGTATTACTGCACTATCCAATGCACCCAAATGTGCTTCTCTGAAAACGTCGTACTATAAATTAATGGTGCTGGTGGCCGCCACAGCGCTGCCGTCCTCAGCTATGACCGACAGGTGAGCCGTCCCGTGGTCGTCTGGGACAAAGTAGTCCGGCTCATAGTAGCTGTCTGGGTGGGTGGTGTCGTCTGTAATTTTACTTCTTATGCCATCAGCAAAGTAGTCTGAGGTCATGTTTAGGACGAGCTGAGGAGAGAAAAACAAGTCTGCCTCAGAGCAGCAGTTCCCTGAGAGTTTGATTGAAAAATCCTAAATGGCAAACAACAGCAGAGTTACAAAACAGTAATAGTAACTGTAATAATTTGAAGAAGAAAATATAATCAACTTTGAAACTACTCTAGCTAAAATGATTTATTAATATTATTAGTTTTAAGAATTATCTTTAATCCTACTGGACTTGCATTTTAAACATTAGGCAATCCCATTTTCAGCATTATTTTTATATTGTTACACATTTGTCTTTTAATACAATGCACAAATCTTTTCATACTTAATTCTAATTTCGAATGTTCTCATAACTTGGCTTTGTTTATATATATATATATTCTTATTTTTAAATGAAGCCATTATAACTTGACCCAATTTCCCCCAGAAGATCAATACATTGTTTCTGAATCTGATAACAAATGCACATGCTGCCCCTGACCAAACTGCACAGTGGCAAGTACAATTCAACTGTGAAGCCAAAAAACTCCAAAATAAATCTATGACGCATAACAATAATACAAAAATAAAGGCTTACATCGGTAATATTTAGATAACGTGGGTCCCCGAGTCTGCTCCTTTTGGCATAAGCAAAACGGAAAGCCTCTACGATTCGATGGTACGTCAGAATCTTTTTCTCAGCTGTAGACACACTTGTGCCTGTGAAGTTGTACCCTGTAAAAATAATATGAGGAAAAAACGTCTCTGCATTTGATAAAGAATCACATTATCTGTGCTTAATCAGTTATTGAGTCCTCTGTATCATTATGCTAAAAATTCATTTCAGTCAGTGTCAGTGGCAGGTCATTAAAACTGGGAACTCTTAATTCGAATAACAGAAAAGCAATACAAATATGGGAACATGTTCCTACAGATTCATTTATGAACACATTAAATATTTCCCCAATTGGAAATTAATGATGCCACTCTTTATTTAAGGCATGACTAAAGATGGTCTGCCTGAACAGATTGGGTGTTGATGGTGAATTAGATTTGGCAAACAGAACAGAGTCGTAGCTCTGTTTTCTGCTTCCAAAAGAGGCGGAGAAACATTCCCAGGGACGACCTGAGGAAACCTGACATCCTTTCTTCTACATGGCTGCACAAGTACTTGGCCAAGCTCCTCACCCTCCACTATGTTGAGTATGAGTGCCAGCACAGGGCCACTGGAGGGGGCGTCTGGGACATGCATGGTGTATTCCCCCACGTTCAGCTTGAGAGGATTCTCATTGAGCACAGGCTGGTACTCCAACAAATCCTCCAGGGTGATAATGCCTCCTAGAACAAGCACATAAGTGTCAGAGTGAAATTAAACTAAGGAATAATGCTCAAATGACAGTAATTGTGGTATTTCCAATTTCCAAGTCTTACAGTAAAATAACTAATAAATAGGTTGAATGTATATAAACACAAAAATGAACAATAATTAATATAACACCTGCTGCCTGGATGTCCTCGGCGATGATCTGTGCCATTGACCCGTTATAAAACACGTCAGGCCCCTCCTCTGCTATTCTTTGGTACGTCTCGGCCAGCTTTGGAAATCTAACAATGTCGTTTTCCTTCAGTATGTTTTTTTGAGAATCACAAAACACCTCACTGGAAGATGATAAAAGAAAAGGAAGAAAACCAGTTCAGTTTTAGTGTTTTGTTGATAGAAATGTTTAAATATCCGGCTTTGGCAACCCCAAGGGGTAGCATAAAAAAGCCACGCACCCTCTACCTCTCTACCTAGGACTGCACCAAGCACTGTGTGTATATCACTATAGACAATTGTCTCCATAATAGTCACATTTTTCGAGAAACATACAATTTTCCTACGCAGAATTTGCCAAGATTTTGGAAATCCTGCGTTTAGTTTTTTTTACAGAGAATTAAATGAATAGATTGATAAAAGTTGCTCCATTAAACGTTAATCTACCATTGATGATGTTTCCCCCTCACCACATGTTGGCGTCTCCTTCAATGGAGACTTTGCTCTTGGAGATAGCATGAGCCAAAGCTTTACCAATAGGAAAGCCATCTCGAGCCAATGCAATGCTTGGCTCAAACAGGTCCTTCCATGGCAGCCTGCCATGCCTCTTGTGGGCCATCTCGTAACCACGGATCTCCCCAGGAATTGCTATGGACAATCCACCTGTCATGTAGAAACAGCAGCACCACTATTTTACTTTTTAAAAGGTATTTTTTTCAGTCAACTGTCAGACTGGTAGACCAGAATAGAAACAACTCTGTAACCAGAAGCATGCTCAAGGGAAGAGAAAGGTTGTTAAGCATGAAGGAACATAAGTTGATGGATAAGTTGGAAACTCAAATATGAATCACTCTTGGTCTATCTGATACAACGTTAGAGTCATGTAATATTAGATGAAAAACCTTTAAAGTTAGCAGTCCACATATTTCTCCTCTCTGCCTAGGAAATACTCAAAACAGCTTCAGGCTAGTACCTGTACGGGAAAGCTTTGTGTTGTTGCCAAACATGTCTTCTGTGGCGTTCATGGGGGCCGTTTCCCTTGCATCAATGGTTTCTACCTTTCCTGTTGAGCAGAAGATTAGGATAAATAGCAGATTGTGTTTCTTCTCAGTTAACTATTTTTTCTTTTACTAATAATGCACACTTACCTGTGGCAGAGTCATAGATGACAAAAAATAGCCCTCCTCCGATGCCCATGCTGTGAGCATTCAGAAGACCAACACAAAGCAAGGCTGCGATAGAAGCATCCACGGCTGACCCATTCTTCTTCAAAATGTCCCTGCAAACACAAGAATACACTTAGTAGAAGCATGGACTCACCTATAGACATGTAGATACACAGTATACCGCTGTGTCACAGTTGGAAAACAAAAGTCTGAATTGCTGTACCTTCCTACTTCTGAACACTTTCCAGCATCAGCAGCCACAGCAGCCTTTGAGTAGAAGTGGTCCAGGGGAGGGGGAGTGTTTTTCTTCCCCAGGCCCATGAACACCCCCAGGAACAGGCTCACTGCGGCCACCACAAGGACCACCAGACCTGCAATCAGGGACTTCCCAACCATTGTCCTGCTCAGGAAATCAAACAGAATTTCTCAGAATCTAAACTGTTGACCTCTTCTGCAAAATGGACATATAATGCAAGGCGAGGAAGACAAGGCAGGCCAAGTGTATGCAATACAGTTCAACACAAGGTAATTCAAAATGCTTTACAACATATACAAAAATATAAAATCAGTAAAAGCATTGCGATATTGTGTGACAGACATTAAATACATTTAAAGCAGTAATTAAAAAGTCCAGAAAATAAATAAAAATAAAACAGACTGTGGGGTCTGAGTGCTTTTTAAACCAGCAGTAGTATAACTAAATTCTCTGACAGACAGGATGCCATTGTAAGACCTCAGAAATGGAGTGGACTCGAGCAGCACTTTTTATCTTCAGTAGACGAGTCAAATAAATACTGCCTACTGCCATAGATATTAACATTACTACCCAACAACACGTTGAAGTTGACAATTGGACAAATAAACAATTTCACCCTTGTGCCTTTACGCACAGCTATTATCAGCAGTAAATCAAGTAAACGGCGAGAGAAAACGGGATGAAAAAGCACCCTCGTCTTATTATCCACCGTCACAACAAAACCTAAAGAAAACCTACGCTGAGGAAGTGATGAGTCGTAACGTCTCATCAGCTGAATATTAGGAGTGATCAAATCTGGATCTGCTATGTCTGGAGATACATAGCCAAGAGGCTTGGCATTCAGAATGCCCTCCATCTTCTTTAAGTACAGTCTGGAGCACAGTTTTGCTCACGTCTGCCCCTGTAGTACAACTCTGAGAACAACATCACGGGAGAACTCGGTGTATTAAAGCAAAACGTGATCTGCTCCCTGGCTCCCCAAATGAAGTTGGTCAGATAGGAGCTCAAAGAGTTTGCCTCTTTTGGCAATGAAGCGCCGACGAGACATGAGAAAGGCGTTGGCGTCAAGACTTTCTAGGAGGTCGAAGTGCAGGCATTTGTAGAGTATGCCCCATCGCTTCTCTGTCGGCCTTCTAATCTTAACAGGGAAGGGACCAAAACAGTCTACGCTGCTTGAGTAAAAAGGTGTCTTACACAGACGTCGACAAGCCGAAGGAAAGTCTGCCATCTTGGGTACAGAAGGCGTGGCTGGCACTGCATGCAGGTGTTCTGATACCTCTTCATTGCTTCCCTCCCCGCAGGATCTAAAACCTGTGACGCAGTTCAGCCAGCACCCTCTCTGGGCCAGGATGAAGGAGCATCTCATTGAAGTACTGGATGATAAGCTTAGTCAAAGGATGTTTGGGATCTAACCAGACGGATGAATGGAATCTGACTTCAGCTGCTCAGCTCTTCGCAATCTTCCTCCAGCTCTGATAAGTCTTGTCTCCCTATCATACTCAATAGACAGAGAGCCCAAACTACTGTTGCTTGGTAGGGAATGATCAGACCTTAGGGCTTTGACCTCATACTGTATGGGAATGACTCCAACTGCGCCTGCTGTAGAAGGAGATTCTCTGATTTGATGTAGTTAGTAGGCGGCTTCATCAGGTGAGCTAGAGATCAGATCAACCGCCCCATGTAGGGACTAAGTAGTTGATATCAGGGAGTCAAACAGATGGGCTGACTGTCACGTGTCCACAGAAAGCTGACTTTCGCTGTCCTCTAGTTCTGGATGGGCTGCAGGGCTGGTCGGCCATTGGTTTTTGGAGTGACCGAGAACTCAGGGCCTTGGCGTCAGCGATGTAGCCCAGACAGCTCCTTCAAGGTCTTGCTGATGTCGTGTAACGGGTTGTTCACTGTATTTATCCACCGTTACAAACAAAACCGAAAGTAAACATATTGCCGGCACGCAGGCACGGCTTCACCGTTGACATCACTCACATGTAACGGACCAAATCACTGCGAGCATTAATGATTGAAACATATATCATCAACAAACAGACTTATCAGCTTACAATGTAAAACGTGTGGGCTTTCTAACATCTTCTAGGTGCTTGAACTGGACCAATAGTTGTAAATATTTGTAAATGTGTGTGTCCTTTGCATAGCCGTTAACTTAATTAGTTGTTTTCCATCATATGAGCCAGTGGAGGCATGTAGATATTAAAGAGAAGAGGCTCCAGGATGGAGCTTTGAGGAACCCCACATGTCATATTTGTTCTCTCAGATGTTTAGTTACTTATATAAACAACTTCTTTCCTGTCCTTTAAGTAGGATTCAAACCAGTTTAAAAGTGTTCCAGAAGGTCCGACCCGGTTTTCCAGTCTGTCTAGTAATGTGTTGTGGTCAACAGTGTCAAATGCAGTGCTAAGATTTAATAATACTATCACTGAGATCCTGCCACTGTCAGTGTTTAAGTGGATGTCATAGAAGACCTTAGGAAGAGCAGTCTCAGTGCTGCGGTGCGGTCTACGATTAGTGTATCCCGCATGTGATTTTCTCCAAAAATGTAATGGGTTCTTCTTTAGCCAATGCTACACCCTTTCACCATGATAAGAGACAATTGGGCCAGTACTGCTGAAAACCAGTCAGACAAACCAAATCAAAAAACATAAAGCCCAAAAAACAACAATCATATTTTTTTGTCAGAAAGGGAGAACCGGAGGTGGACTTACCTTCGCTGGAGTCTATTGGTAAAAAGAAGGGAGAAGAAAGAGTTGGCTAACTAAGTGTGTGTCAACGGTAATGACAGGGTGTTTACCATGACCAGCTTCACTCATTGGTGATGATGTGAACATGATGTGTCATCTGAGATCACGTGTCACAATGGATAATAAGCATGTGCTTTATTTGCACATGTTTATGAAATGTTTAGACAGAAAAACATGCAGATAGAAAGTTATAGAGGACCTGGAGAGAAAGTATGGAGGAAGATTGGGTATTGGAGGGTAAAAGCCATGAAAGCTTTCTTCTGTAACTTATACATGTACATGGGTACACAAGCAATGACACAATAAGGTATTGTGTGTTTTAGGGTATAAGGGGTTACATTGATAAAACAAAAAACAAACAGATGTCACCCTTTTTCCAATTAAAGATGCCTCCCTTTCCTCACTTTGAAGTGAAAATCTTGAGTTTTTCTTGCACTTGCCTATAACTTCCATTTCACTCTGATATCTATCTTGCAGGCTACGCCAAAATGAAGGTGAGAGTGATTCGTTTACAAATGCCGGCAGCCTTCATTCCGACTCGGGGCTGTGTGTGATTGGCTCAGCCGGCGTTGCCATGCTCAGTGGCCGTGTCACAGTCTATTTGGCTTATTCTGCAGGCGTCCTCAGAGCAATTGAGATGCCTGAGCCTTCTCCCGGCAGCGCAGGTCCAAGCTAACTGGCAGAGACAGGAGCTTCTCAATAGCACATACCCTTCTGTGCTGCCTCAGCTAATCCAGTGTGCACTCCTGTGGCCCACTCCTAAAAAGCACTGTCAAAGGAGCCTGTGGGCTGCTGCTGTGTACAAATCTAATCACTACTATCCTGTTCTGGATCTTCCAGGTTCAGAGTCGCCCCAAGGAGGAGAGTTTATCTAATGGACAGACCTGACTCATAGCGGAAGACAGCAATTATATATCTGTCTATTGCAGATCACAAAAGCCTTCCTTCAGCCTTTGTGCGCACGTGACTGTCACTGCAAGAGGGTTGCTTTATGAAATATCAGCTGGAGCTTGTTCATATGTTTGTCCCTCAGCTAGAGGTTTCATTTTGACTTTGCTAGGAGGGATGCAGTCCTACCCACCAGTCCTCCTTCACATTATTTTCTCACAATAAAGGAGAAGGATTGTACTCAGCAGCAAATCAAATCACATGCTGCTGTTGTTCCTCAGTAACAGGTGAAACGCAGCATTCAGAAACACATACAGTGGAGAGATGGCCAACGTTGGAAAAGGAGGTGATGTCATGTGTTGTTAATGGTAGGTGGACTTCTTTGATTATAGGGAGTCACAGACTGTGTATGAACTACAAGATGGAAATTCAGCATATTTTTCTTAGCAATGAAGGACACATTTATTTTTAGATACACGGTTGTGAAAAACATATCTTATATCCCAATGGTACCTCAAACTTGTTTGCATGTGAACCCTTCAAATTCAAGTTGTTTGCACATGATTGTTGAGATCAGATCATTATTTAGTGCGACATTGTTTTACACCCTAATTGCATCTGCTTTCCTTTTGATGTTCTGCATGATTTGAAAAGCCATGAACATTTTATTTTAGTTTCTGCTGTTGTCATTTTGGTTCCTTATATGTTGGTACTTCATAACCTGACACTTGCTTTTTGTTTCCTTATCCTGTAAATGAAGTATTCAAGGGCTAGGGACTCTCAAGAGATGTATCTTAAAAAGAAAGGTCAAAATTGAGTCTCTAGTTTAGTTAATCTCCAATACGGGTGAATTATTAAGCTCCTATAATACAACTTAATAACATCTTTCATCAAATCATCTTTCCTCCTAAATGTCTACATTTGTTTTTAAACCCCAAACCTCTAGTTTGTAGCACAGGTTTTCTGATAAAAGATAAGATGTTTTCTCCCTCCAGAACTACAGGATTGTTTACAGCTTTTTTTACAGACTCAGTAATGCACTGAGTAGTGCATCTGTAAAAGCGGTGCACCCCCTTAAGCATCTCAAAAACGCCAGACACTTTACATTATCCAGTGGTTATAGATCATAACAAATGTTTGACATGAAGAAATATAATGATTTCAGAATGCATAAAGCAGGAAGGACAATTATGCTTAGCATGTGTTGTTAAATTAGTTATTTTTTCAGCATTGCTTGGAGAGTCAAAGCTTTGGCAAACAAATTAGTAGCATTTGGCTGATATATTGGGTTGTACATTGAATTAAAGGCACCATGAAAATCATTAGTACAACCTCTAGGAAAATAAGCAGGCCGAGTCCGGGGAGGATATAGGGCAGCCAGGGATAATATTTATTAGACAGCATCAACCGCCCTGCTCCACTAAACAAGGGCACGTCTAGATCGGGTTTAAGTCAAATCAGGACAAAAGTCCTAAAGACGAGATGTATAAATTAGTTTT